TCAGGAGACAGCCACCGGTGAGTACCCCCCCCCCCCCCACCCCCCACCACACACATACCATACCCCACACACCCTCTATGCACATACCATAACCGTCTTGCCCTTGAACTTGATGACATGGCAGGAGCGACCGACCTCCCCTCCGGCACCCAGCGGGGTGATGGTCAGCAGGTCCGAGTCGGCACCAGGGACGGCCACCGACGTGGCTCCCGTGTCCATGCCCACCACAATGTCAGCGGCAGGGAACATGCTCTCCGCATTCATGTCATCAAACCGCCGCTTCACGCCAGAGCTGCTCGAACTCGCAGCCATCTTCCGCTCTGGACAATGTGAGTTGGGTGGTGTCACCCAAGCCGGTTGCCCGCTGCCCGCTGCCCGCTCTCGGCTGCCGGCTGCCCTCTGTCCTCCTCCTCCTCCTCCGCCACACCGCTGAGGGCCATATCGGTGGCCAGCTGCCAGCCATTCATTCGCGCACTCTGGACGATCTCCTGTATGGGGATGATCAGACTCATACGTGGCGGAAGACGGACGCTGAGAACCGGGGGTCGACCAGGGTTTTACTCGCTTCGCTCTGCTTGCAAGTGACGCTACGCGGACCGAGCGAGCGCAAGTCGCACAACTAAGCGTATGACGTACGCTTGTCAAAGTCGGGAGCCCACCAGTAGTCACGATTGGTGACGTACGGAGCGATGAGCGTCCAGCCGTAGATGAGGGCGGTGACCCAGGACGAGGCGATCTTGATCCAGGACGAGGCCCATGACGAATCGACCTCGAGCTCCTTGGTCGTCTCGCCGATCTCCCAGTTGGCAAGGACCATGGCAACGTAGCAGGCGGCAAGGGCAAAGACCAGGTGGAAGTACGGTGGGGTGTAGTCGAGGTGCTCGTTCTCGATCTCGTCAAAGGGGTCGTCGGCCTCGCGCGAGGCGGCGCGGAAGGCCGAGTAGACGCAGACGAGGAGGGTGAACATCATGCCGAGGAACTGGATCCACTTGTCCGAGGCCTCCGAGTCAAAGAGAGTGTTGCACTGCCACGAAGCGGTCTGCGGCTGCGACTGGAGGGCGGACCAGCAGAGGTAGCAGAGGTAGAGCGAGACGAGCGACGATGTGAGCGGGGTGGCAAAGGGGATGCGGAAGACCGGGATGGTGAGGATGATAGCGAGGAGCAGGGTAACGGTGATCCAGGCCACGTTGGTCCCGCATCCAGACTTTGAGGCGTAGAAGGCGTACATGACGCCGACCAGCCCAATCGCGGCGGTGTACATGGCCAGCGAGGCTGCGACCAGCCGAGGGAGCGACTCGTCGGTCATGTTCCAGTAGTAGGAGAAGAGGATGATCATGACGACTTGGATGAAGATGTAAAAGGTGGAAGCGATGCGTGCAAAGTGGGCAAAGCCAATGAACATCGCGTTGGGCATGAAGAGGGTGAGGACAAAGAGGCCGATCTGGAGGAGGAACTTTGCGATGAGCCAGCCGTCGTGCGGAGCTCTACGGATGTCGTCCTCGGGATTTGTGTATCCAATCATGGCCACACCAATGAGGGCATGAAAGACAAAGAGCATGAAGCAGACACGATAGACAATGAGGACACCCACGCACTTATCACACTCCAGATCGACGGCAGGCAGTCCCGACAGCGTATCCACTGCATAGTCGCGGAGGATGGCGGCGACGGCTACCCACACAAACAGCAGCAGGGTGTAGCCCAGCCGGGTCTTGGTCGTCGACTTAATGTTTGAGTACGTGGACATACTCCTTCGCCTCCCTTCTCCACCTGACCGCCGTCCTCTGTGAGTCGCGTCTGCCGCTCCCTTGCCCCTCTCCTTCCCTTCTGTGAATCGTCTCGGCGTTGCTCGAGACGAGCCAACGCCTATCCCCCTACGATTACTGCAACAACAGCCATTGATTATCCCCCCTACGATTACTCCAACAACAGCCATTGATTATCCCCCCTACGATTACTCCAACAACAGCCATTGAATATCTCCCCTACGATTACTCCAACAACAGCCATTGATTATCCCCCCTACGATTACTGCAACAACAGCCATTGATTATCCCCCCTGCGATTACTCCAACAACAGCCATTGATTATCCCCTACGATTACTCCAACAACAGCCATTGAATATCCCCTACGATTACTCCAACAACAGCCATTGATTATCCCCCCTACGATTACTCCAACAACAGCCATTGATTATCCCCCCGCCAACCACGACCTAGCTCCCCCACACCAGCCACACCCACACCCACCCCTCCCCACCACACACCCCACCACACCCACTCGCCGCGAGAAGCATGTCAGCACTCGGGCGTGCGCGGGGATTCGGAGGAGGGAAACTGCCGCCGGCAGAGAGTGTGGCATCGGCCAGCGAGGTCCGGAGCCAGCTGGCGGCCGTTGGCGACGCTCTCGCTGCCGCCCGCCACGCCGTGGTCTTTACGGGCGCAGGGCTGTCGACGGCTGCCGGGCTGGCGGACGTCTCTGGGCGGCGCGGACATGCCAATCGAGCGTATGAGCGGAAGACTGCTCGCAAGCTCCGCCCATCGGGGTACGAGCACCCGACCATGGGCCACATGGCCCTCGCCTCGCTGGTGGGCGCAGGCATCGTCCGCCTCATCGTCTCCACCAACGCTGATGCCCTCCACGCAAAATCGGGCGTGCCGGCTTCCAAGCTTGCCCTTCTCCGTGGGACGGCGACCGATCTCGAGATGGAGGCCTTTGCCAAGGCTGCGCCGGGTGCTACGGTGGCCGAGCGGGAGACGCTTGCCGGTCTCATCGCCACCAATCCGCGGCTCTCGCAGCTCCGCGTCGAGCTGGAGAACAAGGTCCTGTGCGTCGACGAAGTGGAGCGGACACTGGCACATGTGGATCGTGCGGATGTGGTGGTGGTGGTTGGCTGCGGCATTGCTGCCGCTGTCCACGAGCACCTCCTCGCCGGTTTTGACGGCGCGCTTTTCATCATTGGCCTCCAGGAGAGCGTGCTCGATGACGCAGCTGACGACGTCATCCGGTGCAACGCTGACACGGCGCTTGTCTCGCTGGTCGCCGCCCTCGATGTGCCGCTCTCGCGGTACGTGGTCCGCATGCCAGCGGTGGTCACCGCCACCCTCCTCCAGGAGAAGCCGCACGGCAAGACAGCGGGCAAGCGCCATTGGCGAGTCTCGGTCTCGTCGGAGATGCGCGGCCCGCTCGATGTGGAGGAGGTGCTGTTTGAGGTTCCTCGCGGCATGGATGGTCCGCAGCATGTGCTCGTCAATGCAAATCCGTTTGAGCTGGTGTGCAGTGGCAAGGGCCCGGCCGGCGAGGTGGTCGTCACCCTCTTCTTCCGGCGATGCGAGGCCGAGGACTTCCCACCGTACCCACCGGTCTCGCTCGCACACGCCCTGCCGGACAAGGTCGGCGTGACAGCCATCCGCTATCTCCTCGAGTTTGATCCGCTCACCTCGCAGTGGCAGTGCTACGACATGGGCAGCGGCGGCTCGCTCACCGTCCCGCTCTCCATCTTTGACTGACATGACACTACACATGGGAGCCGCCCTTGGCGTGACCTGCTGCTTGGTACGGCGGCAGGTCGCCGCGCTGCTCGACCCACTGGTCGCCGCCGGTGACCGGCTGGGCGGTGACCGGCTGGGCCATGACCGGCTCGGCGGTGACCGGTTCGGCGTAAGGGACCGGCTCGGCGTAGTAGACCGGAGTCGGCTCGGCGGCGGAGCCGTCGACAAAAACGACACCGGCCGGGCGGGCAACTGGCACGCCTGCCGAGCGGGCCTCGCGCTCCTGGATGATAAACGCAGCGCGAGCCTGCCAGACGTAGAGGACAGCAATGAGCTCTGCGGTGAGGAAGCATGACTCGATCAAGAACATGGCCCACTCGAGCAGCGAGTCAGCGTTGAACAGCATGTCAAGGACAGAGATGCCGGTGACAATGGCGAGGATAAAGGCCACAATGCCCCACAGCGAAATCTTGGGCTCTCTCCTCAGCAGCGCCGATTGGAAGCCAATGGCGTTAAAGGCAGTGAGGACAAAGTACGAGATTATGAGGATGATCATCATCAAAACCTTGCCCACCCGTGGCTTGGACTCCTCATCAAATGAGACCCTGCCCTCGCGCAGCAGGTAGACGCAGAGGAAGATCGTGGAGATGGTGCCACAGATCTGCATTGCCAGTGGCGACATGTTCATGTTGGCGTTATTGTCCGTGACCATAACAAGAGAGAGACGACGTTATCCGTGAGCGTGAGCAGACGTAGCCCGCCATCACATCCCCATCGTCATCACCACAGTTCATGTTGTTGCAAGCATTCGTGTCATCGTCGTCGCCGCCAGGTCGTCGCCAGGTCGTCGCCAGGTCGTCGCCAGGTCGTCGCCAGGTCGTTACCGTCATCGTCCACATTGTCGTCGCCAGGTTGTCGCCAGGTCGTCGCCAGGTCGTCGCCAGGTCGTTACCGTCATCGTCCACATTGTCGTCGCCAGGTCGTCGCCAGGTCGTCGCCAGGTCGTCGCCAGGTCGTTACCGTCATCGTCCACATTGTCGTCGCCAGGTCGTCGCCAGGTCGTCGCCAGGTCGTTACCGTCATCGTCACCGTCGTCCATGTCGCCACCCCGACCCCCCCCCGCAACCAACCCCACCCAATAGCCCCCATACCCATACCCATAAGTTCCCCTTCCCCCCCTTCCCCCCCTCCCTCCCCCCCCCCCCCCCCCCCCTTCCTCCCTCCTATGTACCATACCTGCATGGCAATGATCGACGCCTCCAGGCGGACGAGGAGGACACCAATGGTATCAATCATCTGGCGAACGGAACCATTCCGGCCACATGGTAGGTATGGGTATGGTACTCCTGAATGACTGCTATCCCCACACAGAGTCACGTGTGGGGAGGGAAGGAGGTTGTGGGGCTGTGGG